TCCCGAAGAAACTGGTGGTAATCGGAGCAGGTTATATTGGCCTTGAGATGGGTTCAGTCTGGAACCGCCTTGGTTCAGAGGTCACTGTTGTTGAATTTGCGCCGGATATTGTACCATCAATGGATGGTGAGGTCAGGAGGCAGTTCCAACGCATGCTAGAAAAACAAAAGTTCAAGTTCATGCTCAAGACAAAGGTTGTTGGGTGTGATACCAGTGGAGATGGCGTAAAGCTGACACTTGAGCCTGCAGCTGGTGGTGAGCAGACCATCCTTGAAGCAGATGTTGTCCTTGTCTCTGCTGGCAGAACCCCATTTACTTCTGGGATTGGGCTTGAAACTCTTGGTGTTGAGACAGACAAGGTTGGCAGGATCCTTGTTGATAAGCGTTTCATGACCAATGTGAAGGGAGTCTATGCAATTGGGGATGCCATCCCTGGTCCCATGCTTGCCCATAAAGCTGAAGAGGATGGTGTCGCATGCGTAGAGTTCATTGCTGGAAAGGAAGGACATGTTGACTATGACACAGTTCCTGGTGTGGTCTATACACATCCAGAAGTTGCATCTGTTGGCAAGACTGAGGAGCAGGTGAAGGATCTAGGAATTGCCTATCGCGTGGGCAAGTTTCCACTTTTGGCTAACAGCCGTGCGAAGGCCATTGACGACGCTGAAGGGGTAGTTAAGGTGATCGCAGAGAAGGAAACCGACAAGATTCTGGGTGTGCACATAATGGCACCCAATGCTGGTGAAATCATCCATGAAGCCGTCCTCGCCTTGCAGTATGGAGCATCCAGTGAGGACGTCGCTCGAACATGCCACGCACACCCTACCGTGAGCGAAGCCCTCAAGGAGGCTTGCTTGCAAACCTTCGATAAAGCAATCCACATATGATTTCTCATTTTCTGTTTCTTTACCATCCAAACTGGTGGCTCAATAAGATCCAAAGTTTGTGGTAATTTTGGGTCTGTTGGAACAAAAGGCCCCTGATTGCCCTTTCGTTTTGTTGGCGATACTGTGAATTGACCCTTTGCCAAGTTGCCCACATCTTATAGACGTTTATGCTTCCTTGGCTTGGCTTATCCATCCAAATAATATACTGATACTATATTTGCTGTTTATGCCATGAACCATTGATGGATACATTTCTGACGTTCCAGTAACCTTTCTCTCTCCCGATATTTCTTTGTGACTGATGCTGGATGGCCGTGTTTGTGCCTTGATTTCTTTTTCTGTTGTAGCATTTGTGTAACATCCTTGTGCTGATATAAATGTGATTTAGTTGCATCGCTGAGGATTGAGGAACATGATACTCGATATGCAAGCAGTGACTGAGGAGCAAGCAGTGTAAGTCAGGTACTCGAGAACACGCACGCATGCACATACACCCACAGCATCGCTTCTCTCAGATGAATAAGGATGTCTGTACGGTCCACATATCGAGACCGGCATAATATGTTTGCATCAAGCTCGTGTTCATCTGATAACAATGATGAGTTTATGACACCGCATTAAGAGGCATTACGTTCAGCATTGAGTGCCTCATGGATGAGTTTATGCCACCGCATTAAGAGGTATTACGTTCGGCATTGAGTGCCTCATGGCTCATGCTTGGTGCTTACTGCCAAGCAGCATTCTGGTGAATTTTTACTGAGAATGAGATGACCTGAGACATGCTCCCAATAAGAATATTCAATGGTTATAATGAGGACAAAAGAACATGATTAAATGGGTTATAACGAGGACAAAAGAACATGATTAAATGACATAAAAGAAAGAAGCAGACTTCCAACTTTTGACATATTTGTATTCACTCTTGTATTCTCTTCCCTTTGGTACAATTATTTGGCCACATCCATAATGACATTACGCAATCTTTACATCTATTGTGCATTGTGATGTGGATTCACTAGAATGAAACTAGAATTATTGTTATGGAGTGTTGAACACACAAGAGGAGTGACGCTGTCAAGCCTGAGGAATCTTGCTATTACGCTCCTTGGCAAATGTGGCAAAGCGTTCTAAACCTTTGAGAAGCAAGCTTTCCAGAAACGGTTTCAGTGCCTGGTGAATGATAGTTGGATTGGTCAGTCAAGGATTTGCTATGCAAGCATAAGATTTATGCATATGCCACTTACTGATGCAACTGGGGCCAAAATTTCAGGAACTTCATATGCCACTGTCAGCTGCGTTTAGTAATGAAAAGAAAGATCATGTTTTAAAGAAACATACACCTGAAGTCAAAAACAAATGTCACAAATTCATAAGGCTGAATACTCACTTGTACTCTACAAGAGGATGAGCTTTTGGGGAAGAACCGGACAGCACCTCTGCAACAAGCAAAATTGGTTACTTTTGACTTCCAGTGCGTCAAACCTTCGAAAAAAAGGCAAAGCACTCAAAACCACAGGCTACTCACAAAAATTATTGTACTGAACCCAATCAAGTGAAGAAAAATGCTGCGGTGAAATGGAAGTACTGAGGACTAACTTATGTATGCAATAGCCGCAGATGCTGTAATACTCACCTATTACGAAGACCTTCAAGAGATCGCCAATGAATTTTCTGGTTTTTAATAGGCTGACACGTGGAGTAATGTCAATGAATGTTCATATGTAAACTGATAGGAGCCTTGTAATAGCAGATACTTACTGTCATGTTACGTGCAAGCCAAGAAAATTCTACATCCCGCCCAAGGACCTCATACTTCAGAGTCCACCGTGAAAGATCAGGTTTATCTTCAAGGACCTGTAAATTATATTTGCACAAGTATGTGTGTTAAAACTGAACAAACTTAATGTAGCACAACATATGCAAAGCCAAGCATTAGTAAAGGAATCAGCACACAATGACCATATTAACTAAAGCGGAGGAAAAAACACACTGAAACCATATTGACAATGCCACAAGGGACAACCAAAAAGAAACGAAATCTAGTACTGAGGCCAAGAGAAAGATCTATGCATCATACAGTTCATGTAGATTTTATAGTCTTCAAATAATACTACATCTCTTTGCAATTTGTCAAGACAACAAATTCCAAAAAGTATTTTCTATTTTGAAAAATTGCAAACAGGGAGGGGCGAAGCTGCTTTGAGAGTAGGGGGTGAAAAAGCACCCCCCCCCCCCTAAAAATGTTAAAACAGTGATTTTATCTAATTTTTCACCATATATGCACCCGCAAGGCAGAACATCTCCCTCTAATTTGCTCTAAAGACAGGGGTAGTATATTTACTAAATCTTGATAATCACCTTGACAGACGAGATGAATGGCATCCACTGAGGAATGGTCTCCCGTTCTGAGTAACACTGATAGGCCACCGAGCATGGAACATCAACTTCAAGCTCAGTGCTGTTCCGAATACAACAATCAGTCACATAATCATAATTAGGGAAAAAATTGATGAATGAACTTCTATGAAACGTTAATCAGGTAAGTTCAGCAAGCTATTCACCGAAGATGTTATTTGCTGAAGTTTTCAAATACAAGGAGACTCCAGTACGAGTTTAATGTTTGGGAAGTTAAAAAAAAAAAAATCAAAACTCATGCATAACCCAGTACTCAGCAGTCACCTACAACTATAAAGCAGGGAACACCAGAACAGTGACATTTTCTCTGCACTTTGAATTCTGATCAGACTCAATATGATCAGATTTATAAGCCTTGCCTATTGCGAGTACATATCAACATTCTGTGATAAGAATCATCTACAACCTGGGCCCTACAAAATCCAGCCTTATCCAATGCAAACCAGCATCTCTTGTGGCTGCCATGAGAAATACTCATCAGAAGATTACACAAGGTATTCACTCCCATTTCCTTGGACTACCATATGTAGATGTCAATACTACATTTCACCCAAACTCCCAGTTTCTGCCCTGCATAAAATTCACTGGACAAAAACAATTGGGCTTCCCTTCAAGTAAACATTGGTTTCTGGTGTGCTAATCAGCCAGCAAAGTAGCTCAATCAGCTAGGGGAAAGGGGATATTTCTCCAAGTGAATCAGTAGGCAGCAACAACGGGCTATACCGCTATACCAATTCGGGCACGCCCTGGATCCGGCAGAATCAGAGGGAAGAAGGAGAAACGTACGTGCACTCCTGCCAGTCCATGGCCACAGGAGAGAACAAGGCAGGCCTTGCGCTTGTTCTTGCTCTTGCCCTGCTGCTGACGCTGCTCGCCTTCCCCTCCCATCTTCGCCTCATCCACCATCGGCTGCTGCTGATGCACAGCACCTTGCTCTGCGATGGCCTCAGGGCCAGCGACGGAGAGGACGGGGCGACCGCCTCGAGGCTCGCCTTCCCGGCGGCTGTGTGGTAGTACAACGCGGCTCCCGCGGCCATGGCTGCTCTCCGGCTCTCTCCAATCAGCGCGTGCGCCGCGCGTGGCTGTATTGTATGGTTGTTGGTTGGCAGCAGCTGTCTCCCGGCGACCACAAGAATAATAGACTCACTTGGCTGTCGTCCAGGGGTGGCTCACAGCCTGAGTTTTCAGGTTCCAGTAAACTGACTCATCACTGATGCGAGCAGCTTTGGCATCTTCTCATTCACATGATGATTGATCAACAGCGGAACAGCCTCATCATAAACAGAAACACATTGAAAGCACGGTCGTTCATTTTCTTATGCAAAAAGATAAGAAAAAGTGGGAAAAAAAAGGGGGAAATCTTACTGTTATCATAGATTCAAGTTTCAGAGATTCCCAGTTTTTCCTCAAGCTTTCTGAGCTCTCTGCTGCTGCTGGTTCGTCAGAGTTTCCCGGTTTCAGAAATGTTGCCAAACCCAGCCTCTACAATCATGAGTGCGGACCGGCATATGCAGTTATGCACATGCATGACGCATCTTCGTGATTTGTAATCAACACATTATAATTCTCGAAGAAAAAAAATCAACAGATTGAATGGGACTGCAAGGCATTCACAATTTAGCGTCTACCATTATCTCAAAAGAATGTCTACAACAAAGGAGTGGAGAAAAAGACCTCCAAACATGGTACATTTCAGTCCTACACATCGTCCTCCCGCATATCTGTCCTCCGCTTGGACATCATCGACAGCCGGGCATCCCGCTCGCGCTCAAACTCGCGGTAATCGGTTCGCTGCAGGAACGATTGCTTGTCGAGGTACTGGTTCGAGCTCTTCTTGTAGGAGTCCAGCTCTTCCTCCAAGCCTCGGTTCTCTTCCTTGTACTCTCCCCAGTCTTTCTTCGTCTTGTCCAGGACGCTCAGCTTCTGCTTCTTCCGTATTTGCTCTAGAATGTTGTCGACAGCTGATGGGGCGGCACCAGCTGCCTTGGCCTTCTCGATTGCCTCCTTTGAATTAGCATCAACCAATTTCTTGATTTCAATGTCCTTGCCAGCAAAGTCCCTTACCTCAGTGATCTGTTGGATCATGTGAAAGTACAAGTTAAGCCCTCTGACATTAAAGCTGGCAAACATATTGCAAAAGCAGTCGAGTCCACAATTATGATGCCAGGGAGTGGCCATATTTCTGTGCTACTATAAACTTATTGGTGTTTTGAACTTTTATAAACCAGTTGCAGTTGAAATGATTTAAATAAAATGAACTTAAAATGGCACTAGACATGTGGAAAGACATTTGGTTACAGATAAGCCATGTGCTGTTACATTTTTTTTTCAAGAAATTCTATTTTACATTATCCAATAATAACAAAAATAAAAGTTTTGTGATCTGACAGTTTGGATTTACCTCCACTTTCCCTCGTCCAGATGCCACAGCTGCGGCATTTTTGGCAGCTGCAAGGGCCTTTGCTGCAAGTTTTTTGGCATCCTCACTCATTTCATGTTGTGTCTGTTGTTGCCCATTTTTTGATCCTTGATCGACAGTGCATGCCTTACTTGGTGAAAGGCCTAGAACAGTCATCCAATTCTACAGAAAAGAATATATATTCCAAAAGGTAAAGATAACTGTCAAAAATGCAACCAGCAGATATTTCACAAAGCAACCAAAATGCTGCTAAGTTCATAAAACAAATATTACTCACATTTGTTTGTTTATTTTTCTTTTCTTTTGCTGCTGTACTGAGCTTCGTCATTGCAGGTTTGGGCATCTTATTAGGCAAACCACTGTTCATTTTCTTCCAAATGTCCTCCACACGTGATTTTGCATCTGCAAGGAAAAGAAAAGATTCAGGCTGTGTGTTAAAGAAGCATTTGTTAACATAATAATTAAAGGATATGCATTGTGCATAACTGCATAATAAGGATCAAACACGCATGACATATAACACCATGATGTCTAGAACTAAAAATATGGTGCATGTGTATCACAAGTTCATTTGTTTATCGCATTTGCCAACTTGAGCGAGCAGGCATCCTATACAAGCTCATGAATGTTAATGCAGAAATAATGTAGATTTCATTTGCGTTCCAGATGTCCCTAAAAATGTTTTTCTATACCATAAAAGAAGCATCACTAGGGTAAAACAAGGGGAAAATAAGATACATACTAAACCAAGATTAAGGTGGATCCTAATTCATACATTCTACTGAAACGAACAAAAGTCACCAAGAGGCCACAGTGAGCTGAACTTTGCAGGAAGCATCAATCATGAATGGAAACACACTGCAGTACGAATATGGCCATAGCCTATATATACGCATCACAAATTTTCTGACCCAAATATATAAAAGGCTTGTTTGTGATCCATGTGCACAAAAACATAGCTTTATTTTGGAACACAGAGGAGCAACTCAAAGCCTGGGTGAACAAACAGTAATATACCAGCATCATGAGACTCCTGATGTGAGCTACTGGTATTTGCAGAAGCGGGAAGTGTTTTATCCGCAACCGCACCTTTTGAACCTGGATCACAACACATAACAGAAAATTTACATTCACAGAGCTTCTAACTGAAAAAAGAAGAGAATGAGGAACAATTACCCCCTGGTACCAGAAAAATGTTAGGGGTTCTGATTAGATATTAGTTGCGTTTTTAGCAAGAAACAGTTGTTGTCCATTCTAACAAAACTGTACTCTTTTGTTAAATCTTTTCAGAAAACTCTCAATTAAAATATCATGCATGCATCTTCCTGAATAGTGACCATAAACAGACATATGTTTTTAACTTAATAAAAGATTAAAAAGGAGACAAAAAAAATATCCAGAAACTATATCAAACGTGTTAGTCCAACACCGTTGCCTCACTTTCATGAGTAGCGAAAGTGCACTATACAAAGGTCACCACATTCAAGTAGCTTGGAAGTCCAAACTGATTCTATTGGAAGTTATCTGATCAAATCTTTTAAACGGTTTTCTTATGCTAAAAAGGGAGTTATGTGTTGTTTCTTAGTCTTGTGCTGACTACAAATGGTTTACTCCCTCCATCTGTGAGAAAGGCATGATGAAAATTAACAGGACTAGTGCCAACTGTTGGGCCATACATTATCCATTATTACAGAGGTAGACATAAAAAATGGTTGTCTATTCTAAACCAAAGTATCAAAAGGTGCAGAACCCTTACAAACATGTTCTCAAGGGGCAGAACAAAAAATGAACTGCATGTTACAACATAACTATCTTGCAATGTATCCCACATACCAAAAGGATCAGGAACTTATTTATGCATTTCAAGCTGTGTTCTCATCCTACTTAAGAGCCTTGCATCAAAATTAGTCATCACATCTGAATCTGAAAAGATAAATCTGCAGACGTATCCTATCAACAATCCTCTGTTTGTATCGGAGTTGGAGTATGCAAGTCAGGATCACTCACATGCATGGTAGGACAAACTGTAGGTACCCTGAGCTGTTAACAATCTAATGGCAAGGTTTGAGCATAGATTACCTAATCCTAATGCAACCACTATGCCAAGGAAAAGCATGTAGTGAACAGCAATCTTATCAAGAGCCGTACAGGACTACGATACCCAGCAGACATGTACATGTTACGAATTACAGAGAGGAAGATCTCTGCACTAAAGGCGGAATTGGACGCGCAAATCCCGCAAGGAACGCACCATCTAACTTGTAATAATCTCCCTTTTCATTTTTTCCCCTGCGAGGAACTCCAATCCCATGGATGGTAACCAAGCAAAGCATTCCATTCATCCAGGATTTGTTTGGGGATTAGTACCTGAGCCTCCCACGTCCCCGGCGGAGCTAGTTGACGCCATCTCCGAATCAATCCCTCGCGTCCCCGGCGGTTGTAGGCTTCGGCTTCAGCTCCGCTCGGGACTCGGGACTCGGGCGGCGGCAGCGGAGGTGTCGCCGCAACGAGACAGAGAAAGGGAGAGGAGAGGACAGAACGAACCGGGGCACAAAAGGTACAAGGCCCAGCCCAACCTCGGTGGGACAAAAATGAAGCCCATGTGGCCCAACTCCCATCAACGTAGGCCCATATCTGCCGTCCGATACAAATCGTTTTGGATCCAACGGAAGAGAGCTCCCCGTCCGAGATATAAAAGAATCATCTCTCTCTCCTCCTAAACCCTAGTCGCCGCCCACACACAGAGCCCCCCTCCCGCCGCCGCAGGCGAGAAACCTCAGGTAAGGGCGGCCGCCGCCGGAGCCGGGCGCGCCTGCCAAGATGCAGATCTTCGTGAAGACCCTGACGGGGAAGACCATCACGCTGGAGGTGGAGTCCTCGGACACCATCGACAACGTGAAGGCCAAGATCCAGGACAAGGAGGGCATCCCGCCGGACCAGCAGCGCCTGATCTTCGCCGGCAAGCAGCTGGAGGACGGGCGCACCCTGGCCGACTACAACATCCAGAAGGAGTCGACGCTGCACCTGGTGCTCCGCCTTAGGGGAGGCGCCAAGAAGCGCAAGAAGAAGACGTACACCAAGCCCAAGAAGATCAAGCACAAGCACAAGAAGGTGAAGCTCGCCGTGCTCCAGTTCTACAAGGTGGACGACGCCACGGGCAAGGTCACCCGCCTCCGCAAGGAGTGCCCCAACGCCGAGTGCGGAGCGGGGGTCTTCATGGCCAACCACTTCGACCGCCACTACTGCGGTAAGTGCGGCCTCACCTACGTCTACAACCAGCAGGCGTAGTTCCTTCTGTGGAGGAGAAAGAAGGCAGATGTTAAGTCTCGCTAGGTGATAATCTTCTCTTTTGTTTTATTTTGTCGCGTGTTAGTAGTTTCTTGGAACAGAACACCTGCTGCTGCTGCATCTCTCTCTATGGCGATGCCAACTTTTGTTTTGATGATATCATGTCGTTATGGGTCCTGTCAAGCACTCACTGTTGAATTCGAGTTATGTTTGGGTTAATCTTATACTATGTTTTCATTTCATGTTGCGATTCTCGGCCCCTGAATTGGTAATTTGCGAATTACTGTGTGAGTAATCGATTGGATTGGATATACTATTACTATGTCACTACTCATTTTATTTCTGTGATTTACGATGTTCGCCAGCTGATATGTGGTGGAAACACATTTTACCTCTGTTTAGCATGTGTGGGGTTGTGTTGGGTCAGGGTGATTATGACTCGTCTGGTTGCAACATGCATGGGCCCGTTCGCTGCTCTGAACTTTGGCTGAAACTGGCTGAAAAACACTGTTCCGGCTGAATTGCTGTGAGAGAAAAATACTGTTCCGGCTGAAAAAAATAAGCCGAACAAGCCAAATTTAAGACAAGCGAACGGGCTGGTGTGTTTCTGCTGCTTAGTATCATGTCTTTTGTTTAAGGCCCATGATACTGTTAATCCATGTTACAATCACTATATCCTGCTGTTCAACCATGCCACGCATAGTGTAGAATCCATTACAGCTGTTGCACTTTTTATATCAATAATCTTAGCCTGCGGCATAAGAATAAACTGGGCGATGTTATGAGAAGCCCTTTCAAACGGTGGTCTTTTCGGGCGTGATTGCCCAGCATAGCCTGGCTTGGGCAGTCTCTTTGCATCCTCATCATGTACTGGACTGTATTGTTTGGTTGGTTGAATTCATCTGGTCTCTGTTTGGTTACGCATGCAAAAGCAAATTTTGGTTACGCATGCACAAGCAAATTCACAAACGAGATGCAGAATTGTGATTCACAAACGAGATGCAGAATTGTGTGTTTGGTTGCATGTACTGATGTACATATGCATGTGTTTGGTTGCATGTACATATACAAGGTGTGGTTGCCTCCTGCAAGAGATGGTGAGGATACGGGGGATACCTTAGTAGGATGATAATAGGCTGAATTAATGTTCTTAATTAATTATGATCATCATTTGATAGTTTGCAAACCGTGAGCTCGCAACTATTTACGGGGAATACCTCTACCTCGACGACGGCTCTCGGCTAGCAGTCGCTCGCTCTGTGCTGTCCAGAGGCGCCCCTTGGCCAGGCCGCCCTACGTCCCCTTGGCCGGGCACCACATCTCCACCCGTGGAGGCCGCCGGAGTCCGAGCAGAAGAGGCGGACGCGCGGCGTGGCGCTTTTTTTTCTTTCAGCGAGGGCGAGGCAGAGCGCAGAAGGCGGCGTGATGCGATATGGGCTGCTGTCACACTCACATTGGCCCAGCCCAAGCCCAGCAGCAGTTCAGGCGGCCAGTTAGGGTGCACGGTGCGCCGCTCGCTCGATTGCGATACTCCCCGCGCCGCTCGTCGCCTGCGCAGCTCCGCCCTCGATTCCTACAGGCTCGCCGCTCGCCGCCGGCCGCCTCCACTCCACTGCGCCTCCTCGCTGCCTGCTCTGGCCACCGACGGATCCAGCCCCGCGCCGGCGCGCCCCTGCCCCAGCTGCTGCCGGTCGGCGCCGGCCAGCAGCGAGCAGCCAGCTCCCAGGACCCAGGTGGCCGCTGCGGCGCCGCCTCTACCCCAGCCGGCCAACCCTTAGCCTCAGCCCTCAGGCAGTCCGCAGTCCGCCAGTCAGGCTCCAGCCGGCCTCTGCTTGCAGCCGTTGTGGGGGATTTGGTTTGGTTTTGGTGATTTGGTGATTTTGGATTTTTGGTGTTTGATGGGGGAGCAGATGAAGCCGTTGTGGGTGGGGGAGGAGAAGGAGACGAAGCTGGAGATGTGATTTCGAATTGACTTGTCTATAAAAATGACAGTACTTCAATTGTCTATTGAAACATCTATCATTGGTAATTCCATTATTAAAAGGTAACATCTTGATTCTTATTGGTTGTTCTGTAATTTTTGCCAAAATACATGCAAGTTGTCGTTGGTAGCCAAAATTCTAGAGCATGAGTCCGCCCTAGGTCATTTCTCGGGCTGGATTTGCCACTGGTGCTGTTTAGCTCCCAGCATCCAAGCGATCGATCACCTGGGGCGTGATTGGTATGGTGCATATGGCCTGGCCTGGCTAGTGTTATGCAGGTTTGATACGTTTGGTTGTTTGGATGCCACTCTGGGCCTGTCCCGGCGGATGCAAAGATTCCCTCGCGGCCTGGCTCTTTAGAAACAAGCAGTCTGTTTGTTTGGCTGGTTCGTATCGTTGTTGGTTCGTCAAGAAGTACTTCTGGCTAGTTTGTGTGAGAAAAAAACACTATTTCGGTTGAAAATTTACGATCATTTATGATAAGCCACAGCCAAACGAACAGATGGAGCCTGGCTGTCGCTGTGCAGGCTGAGCGACGGAGATAGAGAGGAGGCGTGCAGTCGCTGTGCAGGCTGAGCGACGGAGATAGAGAGGAGGCGTGCAGTGTAGTTATGGCAACCAATCACTTTCGGCTTCTGAACTGGCTGCTGTATGCGAGCAGACAACCAGTCAAGCGCGTTTCGCATCTACCCACCCTGGCTAACACGGGCCTGGCTGACAGGTCCGAACCAGGCTCCGCTAGAACAGGAACCAATCACGCCTGTCGGGCTCCATCTCCTCGACTGCTCCTCTCGGCAGTCGCTCGGTCTGTGCAGTCTCCCAACATTCAAGCGCCCAGTTCATTTTGGGTTTGGCTGTGGCTTGTCGTAAACGATCGTAAATTTTCAGTCAGAATAGTATTTTTCTTTCACACAAATCAGCCAGCAGTACTTCTTCACAAACTAACAACGATATGAACCAGCCAACCGAACAGGCCGTGTGTCGTCAAAACAAGAGGACGCCAGTCGATAGTCGGAGTTGGCCACGCCACCGCAGCAGCCGCCTTCCCCGGCGAGGTCCTGTGCGGCCGGTTCCTGATATCTAGAGCTATGTGAGTGAGGACTGCACGGCAAGGTCACCAAGGGGCGTCGCAAGGCTACTCCTTGTGCCACCGGTTGCCCGTTACCGCTTTCTGGTGCTACGTGAGCGAGGACAGCACGGCAAGGTCGCCATTCGCCAAGGGGTGGTCGCAACCCATGTTATTAGGACCGGACCGGAGATGGAACCGGTAAGGACATCGGTTCACTGGTTCACTGGTCCAACCGTTAAGAACCGGTTGAACCGCTGGTTCGATAGTTTTGGACCGGATGAATTGAACCGCCCACAAATATTTTGAACCGGTGTAATATAATAATATACAATAAATAATCAATAACATATAATTGAATAATTGATTACATATGCAAATTAGATGATAAAGAAACATAAAATGCGCATGAAAAGATAATATATGGAGTATTTATAAATTGGTAAAAAAACTAAATAGTAATTTAAATATTCATCATTGTAAAACAATCTCAAATACTGAAATGGAGTGCACTATTGTGAAGAGGTCATTCAGATAATCAAAATGGATATATTCAGCATGTTCGCTTGTTGATTTCAACTAGGGCTTATCAGTCAGCCAATAGTGTTTCTTTCTCATAACAAAGCAGCACCAGCCAGGTTTATCAGCCCAAAAACCAATCATCGAAAAAAGTTTTGAATTTTTAAAATTTAAAAGACATGTGAAGGTCCAGTACTCCGAAAGTCCAATCAACGAACCACCTGCGTGAGCGCGTGCACAACAGGTGGGGCCCTGTGGGGACCATCGCAGCAGGTGCACAGCGGATGCACGCCACCAGCCAGAGCAGACTGCACGCACAGCAGTACAGCACCATTCCGGACCGGCCGGTTCAATGCAAGATTTGGAGCCAATTTCCAATAATACCCCTAACTAGATAAGGTCGTCCTGAGTGCACAGAGGGGTAATTTTGGAAAAACTCAAAAACTCACCGGTTCGTATGGAACCGGCCGGTTCACCGGTTCCGTAAAAAACCGGCCGGTTCAACCGGTTTTTAGCGGTTCGATTGCACAGACGGTCTTTTAAGTGAACCGGACCGGTGTAGACTCTGGTTCGGTCTTTTAACGGTCGAACCGCCGGTCCGGTCCGGTCCTAATAACTAGGGTCGCAACGCGCTGCCTCCTCTCTCCCCAGGGGCAACAAATATGGCTTCAGAAGTTTAGCTTCAGAGTACACAATCTGAGTCCAATTAAATTGTAAATTGAGATTGTGGTTCAACACAATAGTGTGGTGATTGAATATCAGTCAATTTGAGAGTCTGGTTATTGTGTGAATTGAAGACATCTATCTTCCTGTAATTACTATGTCGATTTGTAAACTCTGAATGGTAAAAGCGATGCATCGATAAACTCTGATTTGTAAACTCTGAATGGTAACAAAATGCATTGATGAATCATCACATGTATTCTTCACGAGGCAAGAAGCATTCATACAGACATTGCACAGAAATGAATAATCACATGGTCTTTATGCCGCACATATCTAAAAGGTCATCAATCTGCAAAACATCACCAGACCACAAGCTCAGAAAAAACACCCCCTCTTACTAGAAATCAGCATTAAGATCACCAGTGTTTGCTCATAAAAGAACAGAATATTAAACTCTTTGTGCATACTGGGACAAGAAG